TTATTATTAAATTCATAAGTATTTGATTATTAGTGGCGAAGAGAGAGAGAGAGAGAGAGAGAGAGAAAGAGAGAGCTATTGAATTGCTGACAAAATAAAGTCTATCTTAAAATCAAATGGAAAATAACCGGTATTTTAAGCAATGCTCTCAAATTTGAGTCCAACTGAAGTGTCTATTAATAGCATTGATTACATAAACAGTGGAATTAGTGAACAATTATATCATACAATTGCCAATTGCCACACAACCACAGCACATACATCCCTATACATCCCCACATCCCAGTGCTATATTAATATCACTGAAATTTCATCCGTTCCCTCACGTGTGGGATGAGGGAGAGGGTGTGTCACCGAAAAACCATTGACACAAATGTTATTAATCTTTGCATTCAATACAACTGTGTTTTAATAAAATAGAAAATATTGTTCATAGCATTTGTTTTGTTTGCATTTTTGTCTAATGAATCAATTCTCACGATTCTGTACATTGTATATGAGTTGAATGTTTGGGTAGACTTTAAACTCATACGAAAGCAAATATAATACAATACTTTGCTATAATATTTATTTTTCTAAACTTGGCTAACGATTGGACGTAAATCGTGTTATTGTTATAAAAATTGATAGATTCATAGAAGTTACAAAACACTCATTAAAATTTAATGATTAAATATTATATGAGGACTACAATGAGAAAATAAAAAGTTATGTCACATAAAAATGTTTGCCTCGACTTTTATTTCACATTAGATGATAAAAATATTTATATTTATACAGTATATGAGAGGCCAATCGCGAGTAATTGTATAGAAATTATGTTATTTAAAACATCTACCATAAGGTTTATGTGTCATTTGAATACATTAATGAAATGTACAAAAGAAACATTTTTCTGTTATAAATGTTTAGCAGAAAACATAAAAACAAATTGTAATTGAGTTTAATAATAAAAACTTGTATATTTCATTTGCCATACAAATGTCTCGTATATTGAATTTCATTCATAGATTATTCATTAAAAAATTATAACATAAATGAATAAATAATTTATTTCATTGCCTTCACAGCCATAACGAGAAATGTATTGAAATTGAAAAATAAAAAGGTTTTTCATAAATAAGTAAAAGGTTTCACAAGAATTGCAGTTCTGAAGAGACTTGGAGTTCGATAACACCATAGATGTAGTGCCGGGTGATTAGGAGCACAGGGAGACTGTGTGTGTGAGAGAGAGGGAAGGTATGTCTTGTAGGGTTAGGGGAGGGAAAAACTAAATTCAGGTCTAAGCCAGAAATAAGTGTTTGATCGCTGAATAAACTTCTATTAAATGTCATTAATAGCTGGGAGATTATAATTATAAATAAGATAAAAATTTACAACAATTTTATCGCTAAATGATAGGACAAGTGATTTCGTAGCGACTATTAGAGGGGAACCGAAGTATCCAAAGTCAACATCATTTACAACACTATTAGATATGAGATGAAAGGAAAGAGACATTAAATATGATTAGAAAAAGGAGACACAAAAACAATTTACAACTTCAATGTGTATTAAAATATTATGAGACAATAGTTAACAATCAGAGATTAGTTTTCCTGTTTAATAGTTACTTAATACCACTGATACTGGACTCACAAATTCCTATCCATTTACACAAACACTTTAAAAATTGTATTTATAGTTCAAAAATTAATATAAAATTAAGCTTTAAATAAAATAATAATATAAATTCTTGAATACCTGTCCCCGCGATCCCTGTCCTTAGGGCTAAGTCGGCTGATATTGGCATCATATGAGCGATTGCGTGAATTCAATGTATTTGAACCTAAATATGGATAGAAATTGTGATTAATTGTGTGACTTTTGTGGCAAATATTCATGATTATGATTACGTGAATGCAATCGATGGTTGCCATTGATGGTGAGCCCCTGGTTCTCCTGGTCCTCGTCGGTGTCGATGCCATTACTGTCATGACAGCTGTGATTACCGTTGACTACATTAAACACTAAACCAATTTTGGTGTCCCTATGGGTGCCGTCCAGCGATATATTCGATAGGAAAGTAATGGCCGCTAATCTTCGTCTCGATTGTTGTCTCTTAATGGCAGTTGCCATCAGTTGATCCCAATTATCACCACACGATCACCGCCGCAAGAGTTGGTCACAATGGATATAAGTATAAGTTATATGCAGATAGTGTGTGAGAAAATATATGTTTAGAAGTTTTTTATGTGATATTTGCAACAAAACTATTAATTATTTTTTATATCGTATTGAATATATTTTTAGAAAATAATTTTTAGTTTAATTATCAGTTGATATAATAATAAGTTATTATATATTTTAGTTAATAGTCGTGTTTGAATGTAATGTCGAGTCCAATAAATTATTAGAGAGAGAAAAAGCACACAAATATATATGTCTTGAGATAATTGGCACAAAAAATATTAATATATTCTTGTAATAAGTTTTTGAGACAATTATTTTTGGGGCACTTTCTTCTCGACACAGTTTGTCTCATAAGTGTTTAGTCTTACACAAGAAGTACACAGAAATGCATTTGAATTTATCTAACGTTTGATTAATGAATAACAGATCACTTGTATTAGAAACACAATTGTCTAGTAAATTATTAATATAACAAATATGTGTATGATCACTTAAACGCCACATATTTTTCCGGTGTATTACTTATTCACGTATTAAAATGTGTGTGATTTTATTTTATACTTATTGTTATTCACTTATTATTTATGTGTTGTAATCGTATTATTATTATTATTAATATTATTTCTGTTGTTTCATACACTCATGAAAAGTATTACAAAATTAATATATATTTTCGCGATTAATACTGATAGCGAGTTATTGAAAATTAATTATAACTTATCACTGGTAATACAAATAATACAATAATCACTTACATATGATGTTAGCTTTTATTACTTGAGAAAAAAAACTTATCTTTCAGTACACGATAGAGAAAACGGATAATTGATTTGTAATTACTTTACAATTAATTGATAAAAGCATTCAATTCACTGCCGATTCATACCATTGGATACCAATTCACAGATTCAAGCAAACAATTCACACCAAATACAAGGTTTATATTGTAAACACATTTATTAAACACACTTTTCGCGATATATTTGTCACATTTAATACAATATTTCAATACTCAACGTGTATAATTCATATGATATTACAATATTCTCATACATATTATATATAACTAGTATATAATTGTGTTCACATTTACAAAATTAACGTTAAATTTTTGTTGAATGCATTCAGAGTGTGTATATATACCGAGGAATATAACATAGAAATTGTGTTATATATACTCAAAATGCCATCAATTCGTGAATATTTCTTAACTGCAATCTCAATAGTAATTAATATCTCAGATATCTTCCCGAAATCAATGCGATACTCATTACTAGTAGGCGAGCGATGTATGCATTCATACCATTCATATGGCAAACAAATAGCACTCTATTTTGCACATCAAAATTAATCGAGAGTTTACTGTTATATACGGCTCTCAGATGTTGGCAATCATTACACTGGGAGAGAGACACACATAGGGAGAGACATCACTTCACGACAACATCACTTGCATTACGTTATGCAACATAGCATGGGATGGGAGGTTGGCATGAGATGCGGTGGTTTGCCATTCAATTCGCTGCGATTACACTGAGCACAGGGGCTTATCATTCATAAGGCAATACATGTTTATAGCATAGGTTTAGGCATTTTATGCGATATCAGATTAGATAGCAACTTTTATAGTTGTCATACTCATTGCACTTTACAATTATATTGAGTTTAATTATTGTGAGTTAATACTAATTTATGAATGATATGTGTGTTTATAAGTCGAAAAACAAGCATAGTCAATGATTGGAGAGACCGGGGTAGTTTATGTTTGGTAACAGAGTTTGAGTATATATCGCATATTCTGGTGGCTATTGAGAATACGAGTGGTAGCCACCACTCCCAACTGCAGTATAGTGCAGATGTACTCGACACTCATGTCCAAAAATACCCCCTACATCGTCAACAGTCTGAGGTCAAGGTGAGCGCATGGTTAAGTTTGGACCGTAAACCACGGAGCACTTCATATAATTATACCGTTTTCATTGTAACTAATTAATTGATTAATTATAATTTATTGCTAATATGTGTTGGCAATCATTTAGCATATATTTAGCTACACGACGACAATAGTTATGCCTAATATTCAGTAATACCTGTACCTAAACCCGGAATCCAGAATATTCTGTACGAGTATTGCATAAACTTACACGACTAGTAAAACCCGCAAATTTAACACGTTATAGCTTTGCAATGACATAGACACAGTAGCATTAACAAATATTCTTATTTATAAAACGAAAAAATTAATTACAATTACTAATTAGCCAGGTATAAATAAAAATCAAGTCTAAAAACAGCGAATACTGTATTTGCAATACATGTGAGTGTTTTTGCAGGCTATGTGTGTGTGGGGTCGCGCACAACAAGCGTTACGTCTGCCACTGTCTGGCAGTGCAGTGACTGTGAGACTCAAAAACACACACAAACTGTGAACACAATAACAAAGTGAAAACACTCCAGGTCTGTTTCTCTATAAATGTGTCTGGTGCTAATTACTGTGACTGGTTCACTTCGCTGTCAATTCATGTGATTTAGCGAGTGGTGTTACATCAGCCGGGTATACGTGTGTGCGTTCACAGTGCAGTGCAAGGCATACATAAACCGCACAAACATCTCATGTGACACTCAAATGTGACACCAATTGTGGGAAAAACTAAATGTTTTGTTAAACTAATCATACATTTAGTGAGTGTTTGAGTGCACCGTTTGGTCCCGAAATCGGTGTCCAATTCAATGATACGATGAATGAGTTGAATATCAACATAACGCCCGTCACTGATGACACCATACCGTCCAATACTGCCGGCGCTGTCGGTGGTGTCGGTGTCAGCAACCGATCCCTACTGACCACCGC